TTCTTCCTCGGGCGCGACGACGACGAGCGGCGCGGCTTCTTCTTCATTCTCGGCGATGGTGGCGCTGGTTTGAGGGCGACGGTGGCGCTGGTTTTTAAGGCGACGGCGGCGGTGGTTTGGAGTGGAGGGCAGCGGCGGCGCTGTGTGTGCGATGGGGAGAGAGACGACAAAAGGGTTAAGTCGGGGCATAATCGTCCGTGTGGTTAGTTTAGGGCGGATAAATTCAAATATTTAGGGCGATAAATAGTATTTCCCAGAAGAAAAGGAAGAGGGGGCAGCAGCTGGTGACACGAACGCAAGCGATTTTGGACGGGGACAAGAGTTGGAGGGACCGGAGAATTCTTGAGGGGGAGGAATAATAGCAGGAGAATTAATTCTCTTGGAAGGAATTAGGGGGAGAGAAAGCGAGCAGCATCACAGCGACGGGAGGAGCTTGTCACGAGCTGATCGCCGGGCATAATTCAAAATCAGTATTTTCTTCCCTCGATTAATACGATGATGATTATGAATATAATTGTGTGTTCTATTTTCGTCATGAACTAAACTCCAATTTCTGGGGGAAACACCATAGGATGTAGCTATTTTTATATTTGATGGATTGATTCATAATTCTTTTCTTCCAATCTCTATTGCATGAAATTACTTAATGTTTTGTGTTGACTGGCCACCAATACAATGATTTGTAGTTAATTAGGTTATTAGCGACAGTGAAATCCTATTAACTGAACCTATTTCATGTGACATAGTAACTTATCGAAGCGACAGTAGATTAAATAAGGTGTTATGCGGCCTTAAATAGGATATCGGTCTTCAGACTAAATAATTAACTCATTGAGCTACGACAGTAGGATTTGAATTAATTGCTTAGTACGTAGTAATTCCCGACAGGGATAGCTAGCACAGTAGTGGTATCCTGGCTGTAGAGATATGGATTAAATTGATTGGAATATGTGAATTAATCTGGATAGGATAGGTAGTGAATCCCGATGTTTCTCCCAGAGCTTTCTCCATTGATTTTCTCCCGACCGTTTTACTTTGCTTTACTAGTTTAATTATTTTGCTAGTAGTTAATAATCTCATTAAACCATTTTCACCTATAGTTTGCTCTACAAAATTGATAGAACTTAAGGTTGTACCAGTCCCTGAGAGACGATATCCGGACTTTCCGGTTTACTACAAGATAGGATTAAGGCATATACGCTTTTGCCCTATCACTTGCCCCAAATAAAATGGGATAAATAATATCAATATAATCAAGTCAAAATTGTCACCCTATTCCAAGTACTCAAAGAATCCTCAACGGTCTTACCAACCAAGGTATACCTTGTGAAGCAATATATTATCATGTCTATCCAATACCCTTTGAATTTTCAGTTTGAAATAGTCTTCTATGTTGGGTTTTATCAAGTCATTCAATCCTTGCATAATAACAATCACAAAGTCATTATCTCTACCATTGTTTCAAATCATCGTACAAGCTCAAGAATGGGTTATGAAATAAGTCATGAAGTTACTCCATCATATTCTATGTATTTGTCTCTGAATGAAAGAGACCACAGGCAAAAGGTTGATCATTCTTGTATTCACCCCTACAAGGTCTCGCAATCTAAGACCCTTTCATTATCTATGTTTTGTATGGCACTAACACTTCAAGTACTTAAGTCACTAGTGGGAATGGTAAATGGCTAAATGCAATAATCAGCCATGGTAGTACATTCAAGCCACGGAATATAAAACCAACATGAAGATGAACCGCTAGAACTACGATAATACGGAAACGATAAGTAAGGTCAACAAAACCCAACAATTGACCGAAGCGTTGAGGAAGAAAAGATGCTTTCAAAGAGGGCATTCAATGCATCCAGTGGTGTAGTTAGAATTTTATTTAAAGTGCGTCCAACTTAAAAATAAAAATGTGTACAATAATTATTATTAATTTAAATAATTCACGACGGTTTTCATAGTTTGCCGACATATTTTTGTTTTAGGATGGAGAATTAACTACTAAATTATGAATTAGTAAACTCAAAATAAACAATTAAAGAAACATTTTAATTTAAAACCTATAATTATTTATATACTATGCAAGGTTAATGTATGCAACAAAACTCTGTTCAGTCTATTAATAAAGAAGTAAAACTGTGAATATGGAGTACTAGGGTCGAGTATTATGAATTGTGCACAAATATTGTTATTTTTTCGTGTCTTAGTCTAGAACCAAGGTGGATCCAAAGGATCTACCCTATTGTAAGGCGACTTTGCCCCCACTGGATGCATCAATGACATTCTTCGAACAGTGCGGGATAGTCACCCATCACACAACAAAACTCTCGCTCAAACCCAACCTGTGGCGGATCCCAAGAGACAAAGTCAAAACACTTGATCTTTTGGCCCATATATACTTTGAGATGCTCATCCCCATCAGTCGCAAGCAGAGACGTTGCTCGTGATAATCTTAGCTTTTAAGCTTCTATTGTTCGCTTCGAATAAGTCAAGTCTCTTCGATCGGTTACCGCAATCTCATTGAATTAGAAATGATTTGGCTCTTATTTTCCAATGAATTCAACCCATTTTCTCCTCTGTAACTGAGGAATTTGTTGCCAGCACTTGTTTCCAAATTATATAATACGACATAACTTGATCTTGGGCATCGTTACATACGATTGAACTAAATCAGCTACTTGCTGAAAATGTTGTTATCCCCAATGCTGCGTTGACGCCCTTTCACTGTTGCTTCTTGTTGAAGAGCATCCATCCAACAACTGTGACAAATTAATTAGTTTAATTTACTTCATATTCGAGGAAAACCGTGGCTTTAATAAGCTTAACGTACTACATTATCAAACTAAACGTACTAGTTTACAATATTTAACGAGTACCACAACCATCTTTCTTCGTACACAAGAAAACATAATTAAATCTAAATACATATGTTAATTATAAGAGTTCGTCTCATATGTAGAAATCGTCTAGTACTACGTGCGGTTAGGAAGCTACCTAATTTCACCTTCTTTGTATGTGTCAAATTAGTCATGTTGTAGTTACTATATAATTCAAAATATCCAATTCTGTTTTATTTAATAGATCTAACAAGTTCTCTTCACCCATACTAAAGAAAGAAAATTCGAGTTTGGTTTGTACAAGCGGAGCATATACTATTTCGTATTCAGAGACCTGCCCTATATGGAAAAATGAAAGTTAGACATGAATGAATGATAAATTTGATACATATTGTCATGACATTCAATTTGGGAAAAAATGAAATGAACTATTTATTTGATAAAGAAGATAGAAAACAGTGGTTTCTCATATATACTAAAACTATTCTAGGGTGGAAAAAAAATGATGCTCCGTCCCTCATTGTAAATTTGTAATGCTTGTTCTATACCAGAGTTACAATTTGAATCCAATCATATACATGCACTAAAATATTTATAACTAATTCAATTTATTTAATCAAATATATTTAATCCAAATCCAATAAGATTGGGGCCTGGTGAATTGTTGAAAATTGACAGTCTAGTATCGTTATTTTTTTATTTTTTACAATTTGATACCTAAAACTAACTTTTATGAACCATATCATTGAAAATACATTTTAGTTACTAAATTTTATATAATGACAATTTAGCACCGAAACTTTTTAAAATTTGCATAATGATCCAAAGTTTGACTAGTCACTCGAATCCACGAATCTAATCCATTTTAATTCACCAATCCATAAAATGCTATCGATTGCCACCTCTTATTGTAAACATATTGGATCAAATTAAAGCGAGCAACTACTATCAGAAATTATCCTCTCTATACTCATACCACAAATGGTTGAATAAATATCGAGCTCTAATAAGCTCTTGCTTCAGTCACAACTCACAAATGCCTAACTAAGCTAGTAGCTACTAGTACTACTGCCCAAATCGCACCTTGCCTTATTTTGTAACGCATATCTCAATTTTTTGCTAGATACTGATGCTAAAATTAGACAAACTAGCTAAGTGGCCCGCACTTTGCGGCGGAAAGTTTGTTTTTATAAAATAAAATGTAATTAATTAACATTAGGAAACTAATTAATTTGAAGCTTAATTAAGAAAATATGACGTTGGAGGATTATAAAAAAAAGCTTGAATAATAAAATTATTATTAACTCTAAGGTGAATACTAAGTTTCACCGTTTCAGATCAACTTGAAGTGAAATAATTAAAGCACAATTGGTAATTTGGTACTTAAAAAGCGTTGTCATGACTAATCGGGAAGTTAGAAGAGCACTTGCAACACTCAAATTCATATTTTACTAAGAAATACAAAGCTAAGAGAACCCACAACCTAAGGATTACAAAAGCAAAAGCCTTTTTGTTGATTTCTTTGAAAATGTAGCCGTAAATTTTCACTAAAAAACATATACATGTGATAAGTAAACACACATAATAGTTTATAATCAAGTTCACAATGTCATGAATTCGTAATCCGAAAAAACCAACATGCTTAATGTGCCACGAATTATTAACAATTTTCTGATGAGATTCTTGAGAAGTCAAAACAATGCTAACTATTCTGAAAATAAAGCACAAAACCCATAGTACACATGTGCAAAGGAAGCAATAACTAAATTACAATAAATGTAGGAGAATTACATAAGAAACTTGCATAAATAATAAAATACCTACAAATCATCAAAATACGCGTGTCTTAACAAACAATTAGAATTATAGAATAAAGGGTTAATACCTTAGTTTGGCCCGAACTATACACATACTTTCTACTTTGGCCCGTTTTATTGAATATTGCTACTATGGCCTGAACTATGTAGCAAACTTCCTCATTTGGCCTGGAGGCGGGTTTGACCGTCAAAACAGACGGTCAACCAAGTTGACCATTAGTCAATATACACGTCACCTGCCACGTAGACATTAAAAATTATTTTTTTTCTACCAAAAATAAAAAAAGAATTAATTTCTTTTTACAAAAAATAAAAAATAAAAAATTAATTTTTTTTCTATCACCTTCCCCCTTGCCGCGCAGCCGTCGGCGGCGCAGACTGGTTGAGGGGACCAGCCAGATTCGGAGTCGGAATGTACTGATTTTTTGGGATTGCTCTTGCCGAACAATGCGCGGCGGTAGCTGGAGACCACGACCGGGTCCAATTTCAACAGAAACGACTCCTCCGAGAAATGCTTCCACAGCGGCTTCGACGGTGACCCCAATTTCTTCTCCGGCTGGTCCGGAAGCCCTAATTCCTCGACCCAGCACGAATTCCTCGTCGGTGGCTGAGGTTTCCCCAAATTAAAATCGACACCCACATTGCCATTGCCGTCGTCGAGGCCGTCCATTAGTTCCTAGGCGTTGATTACGGAGTCGGGGAGGCAACCGGCTCACCGAACTCTTCCTCCACGGGCTTGTACGGCGGCGGTGGGGGAGGAGGCGGAGGAGGAATGTGGAGGACGGAGCCGTATGTGGTGGAGGTTAAGTACACCAGATGCTCGGAATCGCCTTTCCCCGACGGCGGGTGGTGGACGAGCGGGGCGGGGTGGGAGACCGCTCGCCGGCCGGTGGCGGGACCTGGGTGGAAGGCGTGGATTGACGGCGGCTGGTCGACGAGAAGGGAGTGGTGGGTGTGCAGCGACGAGAGGATGGTGAATCTGGAGATGGAGCAACCCATGGGAGCAATGGGATTGAGTGGGTGAGTGAATGAGTGAAGGAATCTCTCTTTGAAATGGGGGAAAAAGCTTAAAAGGGAGAAATTATTAATTTTTTTATTTTTTATTTTTTGTAAAAAGAAATTAATTCATTTTTTATTTTTGGTAGAAAAAAAATAATTTTTAATGTCTACGTGGCAGGTGACGTGTATATTGACTAACGGTCAACTTGGTTGACCGTCTGTTTTGACGGTCAAACCCGCCTCCAGGCCAAATGAGGAAGTTTGCTACATAGTTCAGGCCATAGTAGCAATATTCAATAAAACGGGCCAAAGTAGAAAGTATGTGTATAGTTCGGGCCAAACTAAGGTATTAACCCTAGAATAAAACATTGTAAAGCCAAACTGCGGGTTAATTGCATGGTTGGTCACTGAGATTACACAAAACGTTCAAGTTTGGTCACTCGAAATATTTAAATTCATTGGTGGTACTTCAATTTACTGAAACGGTTCGCGTTTTGTCACTCTCCGTCCAACTCCATTAACTTTTGCTGATGTGACAGTCAACTCTCAAAGTTGACCGTTAACTTAGTGACGTGACAACTAAAAAATTATTAAAAATAAAAAAATTAACCTTAAAAATTTCCACCTCATTATTATATTTTTCGTCCTCGTCCTCGTCCTCGTCTAACAGCCAGAACGCATCGATCGCCTCCTCTTTAAACGACGACACCCGACAACGCACGGGACTAATCGACACCGCCGGCAGCGATAGGGCCACGAATGTCGACCTCGCTACCTTCACCCTCCGCCGCCGGATCTTCGCCGCAGCCTCGAATGTCGAGATCGTGTCCCGGTACCTATACGTGAAATCGTAGCACCACTTGCAGTACTTCTCCAGATCCCTCTTCGCTAATTCCAGATCTAGGGTATTCGATCTCAATTGAGTCTTCAATTTCCCCAATTTCTCGTCCTTCTCGTTCAATTGCTTCTTGTAATCGACGATCGCCTCGCTCTTCTCGCCGCTGCGATGGGGGAACCCGTGGCGGGTGTCCCACAGATTGCCGACTGTGGATGACGGAGGGGGGGTTAACGGTGCCGTATTGAGACCAGTTGAAGGTGCCGTTTAGTCTCAAGAACTGTACCCCAAACGCCGGATCGACGAACTCGTCGTCGCCGGCAGAAACGTCTACGAAGCAATTGCCAAGTGGGTTGACGTAGAAATGGGACTGCAAAAGGTCCTCTGCCAGATTGCTCAGGTCCCGTCCCGTGATCTCCTCTTCGAACAACTTCAGGGCGTCGTATTGATTCTCCTGCTGGTGGTGACAAGTGGCTGCGACGGTCGCGATGATTTTCCAGTCGGTGGTTCTGACAGCTGATGACGGGGAAGTTGTTGACGGAGTCAGCTCGTAGACGTCGATCGTGGTAGATTCCGATGAAGCGACGAAATGGATAGTGGAATTGAACTCGAAAGGCGCCATGATCATCTCTATCCGATTTTTAGTTTTGTTTGCTTACCAGTTACCAATTCCGTCATTTATATCTCTGGGTTCTAGTATAGACTACTAGGAGATTTGGATTGAAATTAGGTTTTTTTTAATGAATGTAATAATGAAGTGGAAAATATAAAAATTATTTTTTTTAATTTTTAATAATTTTTTAGTTGCCACGTCACTAAGTTAACGGTCAACTTTGAGAGTTGACTGCCACATCAGCAAAAGTTAACGGAGTCAGACGGAGAGTGACTAAATATGAATCGTTTCAGTAAACTGAAGTATCACCAATGGATTTAAATATTTTAAGTGACCAAATTTGAACGTTTTTTTGTAATTTCAGTGACCAACCATGCAATTAACCCCAAACTGCGCATCTCATAAAGTTTTAAATTTCAGTGTACCTTGATTTCAACAGTTTTACCCTTGATTCCTTGTCTCTACATTGATAGGCTCATATTCATATTTTGGCATGGCAATGAGATATTAAAATATCTCCTGGTGGAACTTCGAGCTCTAACCCAGTCCCAACTCTTAACAATTAGTGATTGTTGATGATTACTCCGCTGTCCGGTGAAACACAGAGAACAGGTTGTATGAATTTTTTTAGTATTGTTTTTTTATAAATAGATGTAAAACATATCGTTCAAATTCTTAAAATATTGTGTGCAATATTATTTCCATTTGTATGTTACGTGATTGTCAAATGAACTGAACTTGATTATACTGGATTGTTGAAAATGTTAAAGTCAAGTCCAGATATTATTAACTTGTCTCATTTTGGTGAAGGAGCATGTTCACCCATGAAATTGGTTTGGGTCAAGGATTTAAATATCGTACCAGAGTATCGAAAAAGTCAACAGTATTGTATGTTATGCTAAAATCGTGCCGCTTACCGATTTCGCTTTCGATATGAAATTTTTATAGTCGAAACGCCAGTATGATATGATATTTCAATCTTTGGTTAGATTGCAACTAAACCAAACCATGATTCCGAAATTAATGGTATAAGAACTAACTATTTTACTTTTTACATCAATTAATCACAAAAATTTGGTAAACAGAAACATAAAGTTAGTGGAGGTCAGGTGGCACCCCTGCTCGGCTGCTCTGCAACGTGTATGTCATGCAGATTGGGGCTAGCAAAAAAAAAAAAAAAGAAGAAAAAGAAAGAGTATTTCCCCAACCACCAAATAAATTGACAGAGGCAAGTTTCACAAATCAGCGAAGTGATTAAAAACAGGAAGTAAAAAATGCAGTTGATTCCTCCTCTCCTCGATCCAACAGAATCTGGTGTATATTCGCTCCTTCTCCCCTGCCAATCCGATATCTAGCCCACGGGTTTGATGTGGCAGCTGAGAAGGAATGACTGCGATTAACGAAGGAAACGTTCTCTGTAACGGGAAAGGAAGCTCACTGCGACCGCTTCGTCTTCTCTGGCATATATCGGTGAGATTTCGATCTCTTACTTTTCCCTTTCTATTGTTCTCTAGCTAGCTCTGTGTCCCAAAAAGGGCAATAGATCTTGCCTGTAGGAAGGAGGAGGGAGATGGATGACTGCATGCATTCCTTGGCCAACTTGATTTACTTGTCCAATCGCCAGGGAGTCGACGGTGGGGAGTATCGGGCTTTCTCGCGGCTCCGATTTTGCAGAGAATAGAGCCTGTGCTTCAATTTCGTCGAAAAGAAGAAACGGGATTTCCATGGGAAATCTGTCGTCATCACCCTCCGGCCGCCGTGCAGTCCGTTCAGCGGCCTCGGAGATGGAAAATCGGTTGTCGCCACCTGCTCCCGCCGGTGTCCTTTCATTGATTCGGAGATGGAAGGTGGTCAATTGGGGATTGAATGAAAAGGGGGAAAGAGCTCTCGAGAGTGAGAGAGAAGCAAGAAGGTTTGGGAGGTAGGGCCCACCATTTTTTTTAAGGGTGACTTTTTCGTAATGAACATTGAACAGTGTTTTTCGATTTTTGGTAATTTTTGTCTGTTTGTGGCTTAATAATTCTAATATGGGATTGTTGATTCATTCTCGCCTATTCCCGCTGCTAATATCCGCATGCATACGAACAAATTGAGCGAAGGCACCTCTAACTGTGCACACGGTTCCACAATGTATTTAATTTAATTGTTCATGGAGTTAACAAATGAAAGGGTGAAGAAGGGAGCATGAAAAGAATCTGCCGCCTTTGAAACAATCAATAGCGTTGTGCATTCAGTCATTAACAACACATAAAAAAAATCATTAAAAAACTATAGTGTACTTTTCCAACAATTGGCAATTAATTAACTAATTAATTACTCAATATAATCAGCCCCAACCTTGGATTAAGCTCAAGATAAAACAATAATGCAGCAGGTTAATATATATACTAATATAAACCCTCCCACACGTAAGCTGGATATTAATTACCCGACAAAAACCCATATATACCATTACCACGTAGACAGCTCTCCTTCCAAATTTTGTCCAAGAAACAAGGGCCCCTTAATTACCTTCCAAAACACGATGCCCATTGGTCCGATCAGTTGCTAATTTTGTTCGTTTCTGTGCAGCTGTTAGTGTTAATTACTGTGTAGGTGGGCGAGGTGCACGATCTCTTACGTACAGCAAAAACAACGTACTTTTAATTAGCGCCTCTGTTCTCTCCCTCGAGGCCGCCGGCCCAGTTTGATTATCTGTCCAAGGGAAGAGGATAAGATAATTATTAATTAACTAACATAGCTACCAACCAATAATTACTTATTTTAATGGTTATATTTTGTTGGCTTCTTATCCCACTTTAGTGTCTGTTTGTCCTTTTCTCTTGATGACGGTCTCTCCCACATATACACCAGTGAGAGGAAAAGGACATGAATCTGGATTTGGTAAGCTACGTACGTATGAACGATACTGTACAATTTCCCTGGGCTTCAACGGCATGTGCAGTACGTACGTAGGAGTCATGCCGATTTTTTCCTCCCTATATTATACGTCGTCCGTGAGCTAATTCCAGGTTTAGCTAAAGATGTCACACCACATGATATTAGGGGATTAATGTGTAAACCAGCCAGAGAAGAGAAAAAAACTCGATCTAAATTAGAGGGTAATCTAGATAGAGACTAGAGCGAGCTCCTTGTATGAAAAAAAAAGTTTGTAAGTTACTGTTCGTTCTTATATAGTAAAGAAATTTAATCGAGAGGGAAAACACGTATTAGTGGTGTCGCAACCGGAGAGCTCAATTAATACGATATTGTCCGCTTTGGGCCAAGCCCACACGGTTTTACTCTTGGGTGTCCTCCCCAAAAGACCTCGTACTAATTGGGCTAGGTGGACTCTAATATACAAAGGTCCCTTCCCCTTGTATTTTCGTTGTGGTACTTGGATTGTCCCATAACAATCCCCCCCCCCCTCAACCAAGGACAACGAACATCTTGTTCTCACCTCAGCAATTATCTTGATCCGCCAGACACCTTGTATCGATGGGCTTCTCGGTACAAGGATTTTCCCAGACGGGGAACTCTCTTTGATCCGCCAAACAAACGTGGATCTCTCTT